GAGGGCGGGTGCCGCGTCCTGGTTACCCTGGGGACCCCAGTCCTCATTCTCCCGGCTTTGGCCAGATGCGCAAAAAAGGCCGCTGGGGCGATGCCGCGCGCCCCCTCGCCTTTGTTCCAGCCCGAGGGCGCTGATGAGCAAACTCAAGGCGACCTGGGTGGGGGTGACTGGAGCCGGGCTCGCCAGGGCTTCCGACGGCCAGAAGCCACCCGTGGTGCCGAGACTGCAGCTGCCGAGAGTGAGGGGTGCTCGCCGGGGCACCCCAGTTTCCAGCCTCCCAGCGCCCCCGCGGCACATGCTGCCTTGCTTTGGCCACGTTCCCACGCGCACCCCGGTTGCGCCCCCCTCTGGTGTCCGCTCCACTGGGGACTCCTTCACCCCCTCGGAGTCGCTGCTGCAGATCGCTTCGCCCCCTAGTTAAAATCGCCCCAGAATTTCTGGGACAGGAGTGAGGGGATCCGGAGCAGGGTAACGGGGTAGAAGGAGGCCTTACTGGAAAATACATGGTAACTGTGGGAACAGAGCAGCGGTCCCGCGCCCGCGCGCGCCCGTGGAGGCTCAGTGCCCAGCACTTTGCATACCCCAGCTCGGTATGCAAAGAAGCTTCGCGATAAAGATGTGTATCCCAGTTTTACAAATAAAGAAACTGAGTGTCAGAAGAGGTGAAATGATTCACCCAAGGTTACACAGCTAGTAGTGGGAGAATCTGGAGTGGGACCTGTGTCTGCCCTCCCTCCCCTCACACGCCCAAGTCTTTAGAAGTATTTTGTCTTAAGGCTGAGCCTTGTAGCATCCTTTGAGCAAAAGGTGAGAGGAGTGTGTGTGTGTTTAAAGCACAAAGGCTCGGCTGTGAGGTTAATTGAGTGTGAGGTTCTGGAAGAGGGACATATCACCCCATCTCTGCTATAACACTCCCATATAGCTCTCCCTTCTAGGCATTACATGCAGTTAAAGAATAACTTCCCCTGGAGCGGGTTGGAATGGACAGTGCTGAGCCCAGGATTCCCAGGGTCAGCTTAAGGAAGAGGAGCCAACTCCTACTTTACAAGCCTCTGAGCTACTGCACTCAAACGTTCAAGTTCCCAGAGAGCTGAAGTCATAAGCAGAGTCACCCGCTAGTCAGTGGCAGAGGTGGAATTAGAACACAGGTCTGCTTACTGGAGGGTGGCCTCTACCTCCTGTGGACAGGGCTATTGCCAGGTTGGGTGAGAACCCACCCGCGGGTCAGGAGATATCTGGGGATGTTGGCAAATAGGGCAGCAGATATTCTCGCCATAAAGACCCTGGGATGAGGCACCTCAGCACAGGCCCGTTTGCTTGGTTTCTTAATTTAAAAATGTTTATACTATTCTAGTAAAAAGCCATTCTGCCACCTGTGGGTCAGCCTTGGGGTGCGTAAAGGGACAGACACATGCCAGGCAGGCTAAATATAGCTGGAGATTTATGTATTCTCCATCCCTCTCAACCCTCTTTCTGTGGGCTGGGCCACCCTGGGCTGGGAGCCTGCAGTTAAGGTTGGTTACCCACTGCAGTGTCTAAGTATGGGGAAGTCAGACTCTCCTCTGGGGCTTGAAGCTTGCACTGAGTTTGAGGAAGGGGTCAGAACTGGAATTCCTGAGTCACATCGGGTGGCTGGTGCCAAGAATATGAAGAGCCGTTAATTGTTTTCCGACCTACCAGTAATGAGGTTCTTTCACACCCTGTGCTGTTTTTTATACCTCTGTGCTTGGCATGTGATGGTCCTCACGCATGGACTGTCCTTTCTTGTCTAGTCTGCCTTTCAAAATCCAGTTGTCGTTACCTCCTCCAGGAAGCCTTCCCTGACCACCCACAGTCTCATCCTTTGCTCTGCTACCTGGATACCTGAAGTCCCTTCCTGCTCATCGTTGCAATGACTGCATTGTCATTGCCTGTCTCTGTGAATCTTTGGGGTTCCCTGAGGACAGAGCCCTTGTCTTGATCATCTTGTATCCCTGGTTGCCTATCCCAGAGACTGGTGCCTGGCAAGGGCTCAAAAACTGGTGCTGGAGCTCAAATGTTGCCTGAATCTTAGGCTGAAGGAACACTTGGCACAGTCTTGCCCTGTAGAATCCTTGTGCTTTCGTTCTCAGGAAAAGGACACATGCGTGGGGTTCTTTCTGTGGGACTTGAAATAGAGAGCTGGCATTTGCTGAGCACCTGGATTCCATGCCAGGCTTCCTGCATATGTGGCTTCATTTACACGCCAAGCATGCTTCTCCTCAAGGCTTCTGCACTTCCTGATCCCTCTCCCCGGCACATTGTTCTCCCCTCCTCCCCATGGCTCCCACTAGGCTTCCTTGGGGTCTCTGCTTGAATGAGGGGCCTGCTGTTGCCCCAACCCCACTCACTCCTTTGACCCAGCTTTAAGTTTCTCCTTAGCATGTGTCACTATGCGACACGCTGTATGTGTAGTTAGCAGTTTCTTATCTGTCTCCCCAGGGAGATTTTGTCCATTTTATTCACTGCTATATGTTTAGCACCTGGAGCAGTGGCTAGTGCAGAGTAAATGTTCAGTAAGTATGCGTTGGATGGGATGAATGGATGAATTTAATTCTTCTGACATCCCTGGAGTGTAGGCATTATCATCTCCATATTACAGTTGAGAAGCCAAGGCTCAGAGAGGTAAAGTGGCTTGTCCCAGCTCACACAGTTCATCTAGTTCGCAGAACAGGGATTGAAATCTAGGTTAACTTGGCGCCAAAGTCCTGCATTCTTATTCTGACATGCTGTGGCCTCCCAGCCCGTGATTTAGATAACATTTATTGGGTTCCCCACCATGCACGTGGCATACTACACAACACAATAAGGAAATGCCAAAGAAAGGGAAGATTCTTTATGATCGATTGCGGAAGCCTCTTAGCAGCTCTTGCAAAGTGCATCAGCATAATCCGAGAAATGCCCTTTAAACAGAACTGTGCAGCACAGGACCTCATATCTACTAAGCTCCTACTGTGTGCTCTACATTCTCTTTCCAGTTGCAACTCAACCCTGCAAAGTAAGGTGCCATTCTCCTCCATTTTAAAGAGATTAAGACACTTTGCATACAGTTAAACAGCGGCAAAGCTGGGCTTAGAAGACTGAGACCTGTCTGACTCCTAATGCCGTGTAGTCCTTCTCTCTCGAATCCGTTAGCCTTCATCTGGGTTTTTGAAGGGAGAAAAAAAGCATAAGCAGGTAGGGATAGGGGAGGGCAGCATTCCAGGATGAGAGTGAGGGGAGGTGGAGGGAGGGACTCATCCCCTTCTTCTCCTAACAGCACATTCCAATCCCTTCCCTCTGGCCTCTGGGGCTCGCCCGCAGCTCTGGTTGGAGAATACACTAAATTCAAACTACAGGTTGGCTTTAATCATTAAGTTGGCCCACCCTTGGCCAAACCAACAGCTTTTTCGTATTAGCTCAATAATCGGGCATTCCGGAACTTTGGAGTGAGGAAAGTGTGTTGATCCCGCTCTATACCAAGCCCTTGGTCAAGGGCTTTACCCACAGTATGTATTTGAAATCCTCATTACAACCCTTTAGAGGAACTATATTTATCCCCATTTTACAGGGCAGCAAGTGGAGGCTCAGAGAGGTCAAGGACACAGAGTAAGGGTTGAAGCAGCCTCCCCTAACTTATGTGGACAGTCTGCAAGTGCTGTATCCAGACAGTGAAGCACTTGCCTACCCCAGACACTCTGACATTCTCACTTGCAGAGCCCCTTTCTCTTTTTGGCCCAGATAAGGGGCCATGCGGATGCTGAGCCTACCCGGGACACATCTGCTGCTCCCTGCCTTCCTATCTGAGCCATGGGTGGTGTTGCTCCTAGGGCCTGGCAGCCACTGTTTTCCCTGGATCTGGACTTTCTCAGCTCTTGGGAGGACAGCGACCCTTGTCACCCTCCTTCCAGCCACGGCAATACTGCATGGATGGCCCACGGAGTGATATTGCCTTTCCTCTTTCTACCTCTCCTCCTCCTTCCCCAGTCACCACTTCACGTTCAGTTGGTCTTTACCTTGCTTCTCTTGTCCCATCTTGCTCCCTTCTACCAGGTCATTAAGAACCACCTCTATCAGTGATTCTGTAGAATCAGAATCACTTGTTACCCTCATGAGCTGGCCCTAGTGGAAGGGGCCAACATGCTCTAACAGAACGGGACACCCAGTTGGTTACATCACTAGAGAGCACAAGGTCCTGCCACCCTGTGACTCAGAGAGGGACAGTCAGCACCCAGTGCTCCAAGCAAGGCCTGGCCACCAGACCATGTGGTCTCTCCACCGTGGGTTGTGACCAGCTGTAAAAAAATCTTTAATGACATAGAATTTTAAAAATCTTGTGCATTTATGTAGTAAGAGTATTTTTGCTTCATAAACTTTTCAGTTGCGCATGCGGGTGTGTGTGAGATGTATGTGTGTTTTGTGTGTTGCCATGTAAAATGCATTTCTTTCCCTGGGTCACAGCGGGAGCTGTTGGGAACTGGAAGGCTTCTGGTCTACAGCAGTGCAAGGCTGGTGTTATGGTGTTAGACTCACATCTTACAGTCAAGCTGCCTGGGTTCAAATTTCAGCTCAGCCAATTCCCAATGGCATGACCTCTCTGTGCCTCAATTTCCTCACAGGGAGACTAGGGGTAGCTCCTTCATCGTTGGTGGGGGTGGGAATTATGTGGAATAGAGAAAGTGAGTGTTCAGCACATGCCCGGGATGGTAGCCATCGTGGTTCTGGGAAGAGAGGCCTCGGGCCTGCTCCTGGAGTCCCTGGACTCCAGCGGGTGGCTGACAGGTGCCCTTCACTCCTTGCCTTGAAAACCCTGCCCCAGGTGACCGCAAGCCTCAAACCAAGGGGCTGAAGATGGGGAGGCACCCCTTTCCTGTCTACTGACAGCAGTTCCCAAGGGTTCCTTGGGCTGTTTCCTGAACACCTGATTTCTGCTAAGAAGGATCTACCTGGTGGGTTGCATTAACCGTTCTTCTGTGTTCACCAAACCTCTAGGCCAGGCTCCATGCTGGGCAGGGGAACACAGCCTGTGTTTAGGGACTCAAGTTCTAGCAGGAGAGACCAACAAGGACACAGCAGTTAAAGTACATGGTGTCGGGGGAGCTCAGGGAGTTGAGAGCCCAGAAGATGATGCAGGGGAGGCTTCCGGGAGGAGGCGCACTCTGTCTAGCTCACACCGGAAAGAAGAGACATCAGCTAGGAGAAGGGAGTGAGAAAGGCTGTTCAGGGCGCCACGTGCAAAGGCCTGAGGGAGGGGGAGCAGCACAGGTGGGGGGAGCTGTGGAGTTCTGAGGACTCTAGTGTAAATGGGGATGGGATGTGAGGTCACAGCAGTGGGAAAGGCTGGAGGCAGGGGCGGGCGGGGGTAGGCGGAGGCTTCTTATAGGCCGGGCTGCAGTCAGGAGGCTTGGATTTCTCAGCCGGCACACTCCCAACCGGGATAATGTGCTGTGTTTGCCAGCAGGGGCGTAGCATTTTCCCTGGGCTGGACCTCAAGGGCCGCTCAGCACAGGCTGTTTAATCTCCCCCATGGAGAAGAGTCAGCTCTGCCTCTCTTTTGGACCAAAGGGCTTTCTGTACTTATGGTGCTCTCTGAGGGCTTAAAATAGAAGCCCAGAAGCCAGGTGTGTGGTTAGAGCTTAAAGCAGAGAGGGAAGAGGGAGGGCGCCAGGTCGCAGCCTGGCAGGTAGCACACGCTCACCTGGGCAGCGTTGTGGGGTGGTCCAAGCTCGTGCACACCTGCCCCGCACTGGGCCCTTTATCCCATCCCATTGAAACCATCATGAGGGCCTTGCGAGGCAGTCTTCTCATGTCACAGAAGGGGAAACTGAGGCTCAGAGGGGTAGTGAGACCTGCCCAGCCCAGGTGGCCAGGAAGTGGCAGAGCGAATTGGATCGCAGGCATGCTGGGCTCCACACCCCTTCCCCCCATCCCACGGGGCACTGCACCCTGGGGTCCCTTGGGGCTCCTCTTGCTGACTTGCTGCTGCCCCTTGTCCTCATCCTGAGCACCTGAGCCCCACCCTTCTTGCAGGTGCACCCCCTTTGCCCTCTGAAGATGAATTACTTCTGTCCCCAGCAGCCAAAATGAAGCTGCACCTAGAAAAGCCGCCTACCCCCACCCACCTCAGCCCAGGCCTGCAGACTCTGGAAATCTTGCCCGAGAGGAGAAGGGGTGAGCTGAATTCTGTGCTCCTTCTTCCTGCCCAACTAGGACTCAGCCTCCTGACTCATCTGCCTGGTAAAAACTGGCCCATGCTGCCACCCCCAGCCCCCAGTGGCAAGCATCACAGTGCTCCCAATACCTTCCCTGGGCCCAGGGTGCTCGCAGGCCCTTCCCCCACCCCGGACCTCCAAGCAGCCCCCAGCAGTCAGTGAGCAAGGGCCCAGGTGAGGGTGAGAGCCCTTTGTCATCCAGGCCCGCATCTGTCCTGCAGGTGAGAAGCATCCTGTCCCCATGCTGTGCCCCCAGCAGCAGCAGAGTAACTGCACGAGCTGGGGTCCTTCCTTCTTGCATCTGAGTCTGGGCCTCGCCCCTTTTTAGCCAGACAAGTGACTTAACCTCTCTAAGCCTCGGTTTCCTCTTCTACGGAAAGGGGAGAATGATGTTACCTCTCAGGCATGCCAAGTGTCCAGCAGATACTAAGTGCTCACACGTAGCACCTGCTAGGATTATGTATTCACTGGGAGAGGAGCCGCTGCTCCACACTGAGCTTAGGATTGGGTGCTCTTAAGGGAGACAGACACAAAAGAATAACCACTAACTTGTATCACGTAGCCCGTCTGTGCCAGACAGTGTTCTCAGCAGGCACATCCATGCCTATCAGGACAAGCCCTGTAAGATGGCTCCTATTATTATTGCCCCAACTCTTGGGAGAACATAGGCACAGAGAGGGAAGGTAACTTTCCCAGGGAGCACAGCTCAAGCAGTCCCACATGATTCCAGCTACAGGGAAGGAACGTCAGTGTGGACGGGAGTGTTGGGTCAGGGTGGAGGGTTCCCATAGGGGCCATTTCCCATTTGCACTGGAAGCCCTCATCGTATTTGGCAGAAATCTGTAAGCATTTCGAAATCTTGGCAGGTTCATTTTTAATCGCTCACCTAGTTCTTTTAGTTTTGTCTCACATCGTACCTCTAGGCATGGGTGGGGGCCCTCTCCAGGCAGCCTGTGGGTTCACCGTGGAGATTCCCAGCAGGTAGCCCCCAAGGTCTGGTGTGCGGATCTCCAATTCCCTGCCAAGGCAGGTCAGGGGAGAGTGATGCCCTGAGGGCTTTCTGGGCAGCAAAGGCCATGCCATCCCCGGGGAAGAAAAGACTCTCCAGCAGCATAGTCTGGGAGGCCGTAGTGACCTGAGAGCTGCAGACCTGAAGGGGAAGGGCACGGTGGACCCAATGCAGACATGACCAGTGTGTAGACATCACAGGAGAGCAGATTCCGGTTCAGCCAGAGGAGGAACTGTCTAACTGTGGGAACTGCCTGGAACTGGAAAGCGGGGAGAGCATGCCTGTCACTGGAGTACACAGGTAATTAGCCCAGCTGGGACTTGACGTGGTTCTTGCAAAAGCTCTGGAGTATCCAATGCATTTCAGATGAATTATCCACGAAGATGCCTTTTGACCCTGGGGTCTTCCGGGCAATGCCTTCCAGTGCCCATCTGCTGAACTCCTGCAGAACCCTTCACTTTTTTTTTTTTTTTTTGAGACAGTCTTGCTCTGTTGCCCAGGCTGGAGTGCAGTGGCGCAACCTTGGCTCACTGCAACCCTTGCCTACCGGGTTCAAGCAATTCTTCTGCCTCAGCCTCCCAAGTAGCTGAGACTGCAGGCACCCGCCACCACACCCGGCTAAATTTTGTATTTTTAATAGAGATGGGGTTTCACCATGTTGGTCAGGCTGGCCTCAAACTCCTGACCTCAGGTGATCCACCCGCCTCGGCCTCCTGAAGTGCTGGGATTACAGGTGTGAGCCACCACTCCTGCCTGGTGCCCTTCACATCTCACTTAGACAGTCCCCCTTTCAGTTCTGTATGGTGGAGGGTTTAGCACCACTTTATAGATCAGGACATATAAGGCACAGGACAGTGACGCCACCTGCCTCAGCTCAGTTCTCATACCTCCCTGTGTCCACCCAGCCTCAGAACTTTCAGACAGCGGCAGGTGTTTCTGAGCAGAGTTTGGGACAGCCATCCCAGGGCCACAGACCCAGCCCACTCATCCCTTCTTCTTTCATTTTCTTATTACCAGGATTCAGGGCCACCCAGAGCTGGCCTCTTGCCTCACTTCTAGGCAGAGGGGAAAGTTCTTTAATGAATAAGCCATTTGGGGAAATTGGTGGGGTGGAGGTGTCTTGGGCAGTATTGGCACTTGGCAGAATGCCCACAGCTATTAAACAGTGTACTTTGTTTACAACCTCAACATTACACATTGTTTATATCACAATTGCATCCCTCAGGCATGTGTTTTCTTTCCTTCTGCTACAAGGATGATGGATTTATGAGATGGGTCAGCACTGTACTCGTGTCTCCATGGCCAGGTCTGCCTGGTAACTTTCCAGTCCAAACAAGCAGATCTCCACGTCTCAGAAAAGCTTCACTTCCCTTAAAGTTTGGGCCATTCAAGAGCGGGAGATGGCAGAGTGGAATTTCCATGTCTCTGCAGGAACTTCAGCCCTGCAGATAGGTCACTCAGGGGCTCTGTTCCCAGGACCAGAGGGTACTCCAAATCCCCATTCCAGCTCCCATGTGGCATATGGGGATACTGAGGACCAGAACCTGGCACAAGGTCACCAGGTGATTACAAATGGGGTCTTTCGCTGGAATCTCAAGAAAGGTGGTAGAAAGGGCGTTGGTTTGGAGGCAGTCCCAAGTTTGAATCTCAGTTCCACTGTCTCTAAGCTGTATGATTGTGGGTAGGTCTGTTCCTCCCTGAGCTGTTACATATAAAGTTTCAGTGCTGCAAAAGGAATAGCACTCCAATATAAAATTTTCTTTTTAATTCTCAGCAAGGCAAGTTACTTCTATAGAAGGGTGTGCCCTTACAGATGGAGCAATGGTGGGTGCACACTTGGACAAGGGAGGGGAAGGGGTTTTTATCCCTGATGCACGTGGCCCCTGCTGCTCTGTCGTTCCCCTATTGGCTAGGGTTCGACCGCACAGGCCAAACTAATTCTGATTGGCTAATTTAAAGAGAATGACAGGGTGAGTGCTTTGGCGGGAGTCAGGGCAGAGCAGGTAGCAGGTGATCGGAATGAGTCAGGGTGGAGTAGGTAATCGAAAAAGTTTGCTTTACGAGGAAGTTTAAAAGTAGAAGGCAAAGAATTGAACATACTGACATATTAATTATTTGAAAAGAAATTTAGAACTCATATCTGACAACCCCTCCCCTTGTATTTCCTTACAGCTTTCTTTGCAAACTATTTTTTTAAACATGTCTTGGCTTAGTTGTTTTGCTTGATTTTCCAAAAGCAGCAGCTTCTCTGGATAAGGTGGAGGATAGTTAAGTGAGGTTTTCGTAAGTGCCGTTTTTATGAGCCTCTGTATCAACTTACGGATGCATGGTATGACATAGCACCTGACAAAAATAAGTACACCTATTATGGCTGTGAGGGAAATAAGCATTGAGGGTATTATTCCTTTCCATTTACCAAATTACTTTTTTAGCCATCCTATAAAGTGGTCATTTACCCGAGTTGCTGGCTAACTCATTGGATAGAGCAGTCAGACCTTGCAATGCCTTTGTTATACTTCCATCGGGGCGGTGTTATTTGGGATGAAGGTGCAACATTGAGTTCTAATCATGACGCAGACTCTTCCTCTTTCTGCTAATATCATGTCTAAGGCTATCCTATTTTCCTAAGCCATCTGGCTAGTAGTCCCTAATTGTTCAGTTATTCCTTTAACAGCATCTTTAGTGTAGTTAATACATCGCTGTTGGTTGTAATATATGTAGTTTATCCAATCTACATTTTTATTAACTGTCACCTACCAAAATATTGACTCAAATCCTGCAGCTATTTTATTTCGGGCTTTAAATTGATCTGGTATTTCCCGTGGGACTCCAGTTGCTTTTAAATAGATGTGAGTGTCAAAAGACCCATAAGGGCTTCTCTTGCTTTATGATGTCTTGTTTTTCCTCCCACTGGTTGATGAAATACCAGGGTGAAAGGGATAGCCAATTGGACTAAAGCACAAGTGCCACTCCAGTTATTCGGCAGAGTGTCCAGTAAAGGTCCACCACAATACCACCATACATCCGCTCAGGGATGAACAAGAAAGGCTGACTTATTGGTAAGCTCTTGAAAGTTCTTAAGCTCACTGCATCCCTTCAGGTCTCCAAGGAAGGCTAAGTTTCCTCTCTGTCATGAGAGACACGAAGTGAACTTATTGGGAGACGGAAGCTGGATGGCCCTCGGGGGCTGACCTGCAGGGTGCCGAACTTTGGGATATAGCAGAAAGAGCTTGGCACGACTTATTACTCCAGGCTGTAGAATCCTGGAAAAGAGCTACCATGCAGTCTATGCCTGGTCGACTGGAGGACCACCTTGGTGGAAAGGGGACAATTTGGGCCTCTGGCCTGCCATGTACACAAGCATAACAATTGCTTTTGTTTAACGTGTGGATAGAATATTTGATCCATTCCAACCAGGCATTTGCATCTTGGTATTCTGTCTTAATTGCCAAAGTTTAAGTCTTTAACTTCTATGGTCCTCTAGTAAAATGAATGTATGGTTTTTAGGAAATTACAAAAACCGTTGGGGCAGTCCATCCTTGTTCTTTAGTGGTCCACAGAACATTGGACCAACTGTGGCATAAAAGCTCTACATCAGGTGGCAAGCCTCCTGGTTGACACTGGGGTCTTTATCGAAATCTCCCCAGATTAAATGGTCCCAATTTACTAATGCCTAGTCTGAAGAAAGTCAGGAGGGACAGAGGCACTTTTCTGAAGTAGGGAGCTGTCTTTGACTTGGCAAGTCCCCACAGGGTATAACAAGGCAAGCATTAAATGCAATAGTTTGAGGCAAAATTGACTCGGTTATGTTAATAACTAGATGGTCAGCAATAGAGTGAGGAAGAAGAAAGTGATAGATGAAAGAGTTTAGCTTTAGTTTGGTAGGGTTTTCTCCTGGGACTATGGTCCACGACTCTGGAGGGGGTGGTGCTTTCTTGACTCAGGGGTGATGAGTCCATCCCTTTTTCACTGTACGAACAGCAGTCTTGGTGGCAAGCAGCACAAGGTAGGGTCCTTCCCAGGCTGGCTTGAGTTTTCCTTCTTTCCACCCTTTGATGAGAACGTGATCTTCAGGTTGGTGCTGGTTTACCGGAAATTCTAGGGGTGGTACAAGTGCTAAAAGACTTAGTTTTGAGGGAAAGGAGAGTGGAAGATAAACCAAGTATATCATTTCTAAGAAATTGACCTTTTGTTTTAAATTTGGAGACAGCAGTGGACTTTATAGTGCCTGGTGCCTTCTGAGAAATTTCCTTCAGC